ATTGGAGTACCTCCTGCGCTTGAGGTGTGGCACCACTTCATCAACAACTCCATCGTCACCATCACCTTAGAAGAAAGAGACATAAATACATGGGTATGGGCACTCCCCTTGGCAGCTGCCAAGCTTGGGGGAGATGCACCGGTATTGTATCACCATCACACCTTTACCTTTATCGTTTTTCTTAGTTCAATCCTTTTGGTTATATCTTGATCTAGTAGAATAAAGTTTTAGTATGATCTAGCTTTGAGTTTTGTTTCGATCTCTATCTATGTAGTCGAGTCTGTGAGTTATATATAATAAAGAGTAGTTTTGAGTTGAAGGCTTTACTTTTTTGCCATGATCTTGAGGGAGTTAAATTAAAGGAAACAAGTAATAAAAAGAAATAAAAAGATCATATATTGATCTTATGGAGAGTAATGACTTCACATGTAAAGAGTATGATGAATAAAAATTGTTGAGAGTTGACAAACATAGTTTTGGTCATTGTTGCAATTAATAGGAAGTAATAAAGAAAGAGAGGCTTCACATATAAATATACTATCTTGGACATATTTTGTAATTGTGAGCACTCATTAAAATATGACATGCTAAAAAGTTGATGTTAGACAAGGAAGACAACATAATGGTTTTTTTTAGAACTGACAACATAATGGGTTATGTTTTCTTATATCCGAATAGAAGTTATATTGTCATGGATCATCCAACATGTTGAGCTTGCCTTTCCCTCTCATGCTAGCCATATTCTTTGCACCAAGTAGAGATACTACGTGTGCTTCCAAAAATCCCTTAAACCAGTTTTGCCATTGGAGTCCACCATACCTACCTATGGATTGAGTAAGATCCTTCAAGTAAGTTGTCATCGGTGCAAGTAATAAAAATTGCTCTCTAAATATGTATGATCTATTAGTGTGAAGAAAATAAGCTTTATACAAACTTATGATATGGAAGAAATAAAAGTGACGGACTGCATAATAAAGGTGTTTATCACAAGTGGCAATATAAAGTGACATTCTTTTGCATTAAGATTTTGTGCATCCAACCATAAAAGCGCATGACAACCTCTGCTTCCCTCTGCAAAGGGCCTATCTTTTACTTTTATCTTCTACCCTTATACAAGAGTCATGGTGATCATCACCTTTCGTTTTTACACTTTTTCCTTTGGCAAGCACTATGTGTTGGAGAGATCCAGATATATATATATCCACTCAGATGTAGGTTATCATAAAGTATTATTGTTGACATTACCCTTGAGGTAAAGGGTTGGGAGGCGAAACTATAAGCTCCGATCTTTCTTTGTATCCGATTGAAGCTTTGAACCCATAAGTATCGCGTAAGTGTTAGCAATTGTGAAAGATTAAATGATAGTTGAGTATGTGGACTTCCTGAAAAGCTCTTGAATTGGCTCTTTCTGATGTTATGATAAATTGCAATTGCTTCAATGACTGAGATCATAGTTTGTTAGTTTTCAATGAAGTTTCTGATTCATACTTTATTTTGTGAATGAATTGTTACTTTAGCATAAGAAATTATATGGCATTATATGTTGTTGTTCTAAAGATGGTCATGATGCCCTCATGTCCGTATTTTATTTTATCGACACCTCTATCTCTAAGCATCTGGACATATTTTTCGATTTTGGCTTTCGCTTGAGGACAGGTGAGGTCTAAGCTTGGGGGAGTTGATACGTCCATTTTGCATCATGCTTTATTGATATTTATTGCATTATGGGTTGTTATTACTCATTATATCACAATACTTATGCATATTCTCTCTTATTTTATAAGGTTTACGTGAAGAGGGAGAATGCCGGCAGCTGGAATTCTGGACTGGAAAAGGAGCAAATATTAGAGACCTATTCTGCACAACTTTAAAAGTCCTGAAACTTCATGGAGAATATTTTTGGAATATATAAAAAATATTGGGCGAAGAAAGCACCAGAGGGGGGCACCTACCATCCACAAGGGTGGAGGGCGCGCCCTACCCCCCCTGGGGGCACCCTCCGGCCTTGTGGGCCACCTGGCAAGCCCCCAACGCCCGTCTTCTGCTATATGGTGTGTTTTGACCTGGAAAAAATGAGGACGAAGCTTTCGGGACGAAGCGCCGCCGTCTCAAGGCGGAACTTGGGCAGGACCAATCTAGGGCTCCGGCAGAGCTGTTCTGCCGGGGAAACATCCCTCCGGGAGGGGGAATTCATCGCCATCGTCATCACCAACGATCCTCTCATCGAGAGGGTGTCAATCTCCATCAACATCTCACCAGCACCATCTCCTCTCAAACCCTAGTTCATCTCTTGTATCCGGTCTCTACCTTAAAACCTTAGATTGGTACATGTGTGTTGCTAGTAGTGTTGATTACTCCTTGTAGTTAATGCTAGTTGGTTTATTTGGTGGAAGATCATATGTTCACATCCTTAATGATAATTAATAATCCTCTGATTATGAACATGAATATGCTTTGTGAGTAGTTACGTTTGTTCCTGAGGACATGGGAGAAGTCTTGTCATAAGTAATCATGTGAATTTGATATTCATTCGATATTTTGATGAGACGTATGTTGTCTTTCCTCTAGTGGTGTTATGTGAACGTCAACTACATGACACTTCACCATGATTTGGACCTATGGGAAGGCATTAGGAAGTAATAAGTAGATGATGGGTTGCTAGAGTGACAGAAGCTTAAACCCTAGTTTATGCGTTGCTTCATAAGGGGCTGATTTGGATCCATATGTTTCATGCTATGGTTAGATTTATCTTAATTCTTCTTTAGTTGTTGCGGATGCTTGCGAGAGGGGTTAATCATAAGTGGGAGGCTTGTCCAAGGAAGGGCAGCACCCAAGCACTGGTCCATCCACATATCAAATTATCAAAGTAACGAACGCGAACCATATGAGCATGATGAAAACTAGCTTGACAATAATTCCATGTGTCCTCGGGAGCACTTTGCTTTATATAAGAGTTCGTCCAGGCTTGTCCTTTGCTACAAAAAGGATTGGGCCACCTTGCTGCACCTTGTTTACTTTTGTTACTTGTTACCCGTTACAAATTATCTTATCACACAACTATCTGTTATAATTTCAGTGCTTGCATATAATACCTTACTGAAAACCAATTGTCATTTCCTTCTGGTCCCCGTTGGGTTCGACACTCTTACTTATCGAAAGGACTATGATAGATCCCCTATACTTGTGGGTCATCACCACTGCTCCGGCGCGTCCGTCCACCACAACCAGCAAAAAGGGCCGCGGCCGCCAAGTGCTCGAGGAGTGCCAACAAGGTAAGAAAAACTTCATAGGAGAGGCTTCGTGATGCCAAGAAAGCTGAAATCATGTTATCATGTTCATGAACCCAAGCACAAATGGATGAAACCAGAAGAAAGTATTGGAAGCTCACCTAAGGGTAGATCTTGACCCAAATGGAAGTCTCTCTTCGGAATGGTGGTGGACTGGTGGTGGTTGTCGCCATGTGCACGGTGGCAGCGGTGGTGATTTCTTCGCCGAGGACGTTGTTTGAGTTCGTGCATGCCATAGAATGACCTCAATCCACAACATAACACTATGTTTGTGGTGATTTTGAATCAAACTTAGTGTTTGAAGTAATGCCTTTTGGATGAACTATGCATGTTTTAATTTGAAAATCATGGTCGATGAAACTATATGCTTGTTAATGGCTATGTTATGCATGTTTTAATTTGAATGTTTGATGATATATATTGTGAAGTGTTTGAAATTCACGCGGCTAGGACAAAAACAACTTATGCAATTTTTTGCTCCACTAAGTTTAGTAGATCAGCTAGGTGCGACCAGGAGTAAAAGTTTACTCCGCTAACTTTACTTGGCCGGATACTCCTCTATTTTACTTTCCAATCGAGTCTAAAAATGATAGAAAAATAAAAAATAAAAAAATACATGAATGAAAAATATTAGACCATAAAAGTTAACGAGGATTCTATGGTTTAAAAAAATGAAATTGCATATATGAAAAATATGGAAAAGTTCAAAAGGATTCTATGGCCTTATTCTAACCTTTTTACTTAAGATTTTGTTAGTGGCTTCTAGCTTCTCTAGTGTATCCCATTTTTTGTTGTAAATTTCCTATTGTTTGCCCAATATTTGATGATATTTATTTTCTCTTTCCCTGTCGTTCTTCTAAATTTTCCTTTTAAAGATTTACATATACATTTTAAATTTAAGCACATTTTTTATTTTCTAAATTTGCACTGCCCCAATTTTCTTAAATTAGTACTTTGAAAAAATATCATCAAATATTTGATCTATTTTATTACCAAACATTTGTTTTTTCTCTCCTGTTTTTTCTGGGTTTTTTTAACTCTGTGGCCACTGTACATCCAATGTGCAAAATTGCGACCTTTATCATTAAAAATGGTTTCAATGGAGTGAGAGACCAAACATACACAGGATCAAGAATATCTGCTATAGAGTTGGGAGTCAAATATTGAATTCGATACTAATTGAGAGATGAAACATGGAAAGGGGTCCAATGAACCCAAATAAGCTAACATATGGGATTGACAAGTAGAGTCTATTATTCTCATGTTGTCAGACAAGCAAGCCCTCAAATTATTATCAGGAATAAGCAACGACAGGAGATACAAGTTGCTCACAGAGAAACACATAGGCACAACAATCATATTCCAAACCGATGTTACCCGAAAAATGTTGTTCTGTCCAATAACCTGTTTAGTGGTACAATGTGATTGTATTCCCAAATTGTGCTGATAGCACAATCCCGGTAAATGTAAGAGCAAAAGTACCCTGCAAAAAAAGAGAGCAAAAGTACAATAACAGTGGAAAGTTGTTACATGGAAATGACGTTTTAGATTTCCACCAGCCTGTTTCTAGAAGGCAGCTGCGCTTCGCCTGATGCTATTCACGGCAAAAGGGATGAGGTTATTACATAGAAAATATTCCCTAGAAAAAAAGGTTGTTACATCATGCCTACAGTGAAGATATAGTTCCCGTGGTTGGATCAGTTGTTATGGCTGCTATGAGTTAGAGGTTCCGCAGAAACCAGTGCCCACAATGATAAATGTTATAGCCTGCAGATATATATAGATGAAATAGAAGTCGCTTCCATACACCAAGTTGTAGGTCGCACAAACGAAAAGGAACACAGCAAACAGAAGTTCTGACACTGTCCATCTGCAAGAGCAATGATAACATTGATCATATCAGAATTTCAGAAAGGCAGGGATCCAGTAAAAAAAAAAAGAAAATATCATATGGTTAGGTGGCCAGTGGTGTGCACACCCAAGAAGAAAGATGGGCTGGGGTATTCATAATTTGGAAAGATTTAATGTCAGCTTACTATGTAAGTGGTGGTGGAATCTTAAATCCAGAGAAGGGATGTGCAGAAGATAGCGAGAAAAAAATATAAGATTGATGGAGGGATATATCAACTTCATAGCACAGTGAATTATTCACCATGTTGGGCTGATCCGATCAAAATCAAAGACTTGTATCTCAAAGGGAAAAAGATGATGGTTGGCAATGGAAAACAAACTGACTTTTGGGGACACAAATGGTGCAGTGACAAGCCTCTTCTATCTACCTTTCCTGATCTGTTCGAATGAACAGAAGAAGACAGTTAAGCAAATGGCTAACACTGGTTGGAATATGACATTTAGAAGATGGCTGAATAATAAACAAAGCAGACAGTTGCATGAGCCAATGTATATACCTTTCTGATGCTGGTCCTGATAGATCATTTAGACATCTCTGGAAAACAAAACTGCCCTTGAAAGTTAAATTTTGGTTGTGCCTTATATGGCACAATGCCATTGCCACAAAGGACAACATGAACTATTGGTGCTGGGGATAGACCTGGGTGCTTCCCCCAGTACTTTTGGTGGATTCCACATTATCTGCCTTATAGTAGAAACCTGCATTGTTGGCACTTTGGAAGCTCAGAAATAGAGCTTGTTTTGAATTTAAGCTAGTTAGATCATCTGCTGAATTCATTTGTTATGTTGTGTCCTTTATAAACTATACTATTGGGCAGCTCTCCAGAATGATGGTGATCGTGCAATGCTGGAACAAAGTGCTGCTGCTCCTCAAAGGACGACGCTGGAGCATCATGATGATGGAAGAAGGGAGCAAGGAAAGGCTGCTCTGATGATTGCTGGAGGAACTGGCAATAATGATGAGGAAGACGCAAAAAATGTGACCCAAGCAATGGATGAGGACTAAAAACTTGGAGACCCAGCTTCTTGGATGCTATGAATGGGGTGTGCACTTGCATGTGCTGATGTTTGGGGTGTGGTTTTCCCCCTTGTAAGATAAAATTCTCTCTTCTGCTGGGTTGGCTTTACTTTTCGTTACGAGTTTTAGTCTCAGTTTTCCCTGCTAGCGGTGCATGCGGCAGGAGGGGGTATTGCTCTCATGAGCTGATATGAACCCTACTTTCTAGTTTCTTTTGTTGCGCCAAAATGCTGTTTTATGTTTGTTCCATTATCTTTTGATAGTGGAGCCCGATCCATTCTTGGATTGTATGGAAAAAAATATCTATGACACTTGGAGGTACACAGGTTCAGTTATCTTTTACCTGTCCCAAAACCTGCAGCGAGGCCTTTCAAGTATCTGAGGCACTGGCTTTGTATTGCTTACACTGCCAAGCTTCTCCGTGACCACCCACTCGTTTACGCTTCCCAACTCCAGCAAACCGATGAACGTTGCCTTTGTTCGGTGAAAAGACATGACATTCTCAAAGAGGATCCAGAATGGTATGAAGTGGATAGAACTGCGAAACAGCGAGTTAGGAACCAACATTTCCTATCTGGCATGGACATATTCATGCTAATTAACAAACTCTTCTGAAAGCATCAAACCTTGGATTTCGGACGGCGTATAGAATGGTTATTGCTGTTGGAATATAAACCACCCCCCAAGCAGGAATTTTGATCTCAGGAATTAGCACCGAAAATGGGATCACTACACAGTAGAGCACGAAAGGTAGCACATGAGCAACAACCTTCCTCACCAAGAAGAAGCTGTATAGCAAATAAAGCTTCCACCAAAGTGACACCTCCTGCTCAGGATCTAGATGATGTCAGATAAACACCAAAAAGGAAACATAAGAGTAATGATTTAATCGGACATTCAGATTATGCACAAAAACCAGGGTACGAAACGTCTACAAAAATAAATTTCAAGCTCATGCATATTGTTTTTTTAACATAAAGGCACCCCCGGCTCGATGCTCATCCATACGAGACCAAAATATATCACCTATCATGAGGCATAACATCACTAGATTTGTTTCATGCAAACACTACTTGATTGTGTGTGCTAACATAACAAGTGGGATTACCTTAGTAAGCAATATCTCTGCTCCCATCTTTCGGAATAAATTTGCTGCCCCACATGTCCAACGGTGCTGTTGACGGCGATATGCCTTCAGATTGCTTGGCAGTTCACTTTTTACCTGTGTTCCAGTAATAATCGAGTTACATCACGTCACGTGTAAAATATTGTAAAGATGGTGGTCAACCCAGGTTGGTTGGCCACTAGAAAAAAAAAAACAAGTCACCCTGCTTCTCTCAAGATTACATCTTATTTTCTATTTTAGAATTGTTAATTATTTTTCAAATGTAAAAACGTATAAACAATATAGTTTGGCATAAAGATTGAATCCATATGAGTATGTTAGTACCATGACTAACCTACCTTGACATCGCCAACATAGACAAATTTCCATCCTTTCAAGCCTGCTCTGACTGCCAAATCCATGTCTTCAACTGTGGTTCGATCATCCCAGCCCCCAGCTTCCTTGATGGCAGAAATTCTCCATACCCCAGCAGTTCCTGAAGTTTTTAAAACAAGCAGTTCCTGGAGTTAAATAATTAATCCTACAGGGTTGCGGAGGGTTGAATTGATAATAGGAAAGCTGGCTGTTATACCATTAAAACCAAAGAAGGCAAATGTGGATGAACCTGCCTCCTGCTCTACTTTAAAGTGATAATCTAGTGTCATCTTTTGTATCCTTGTCATCAGGCATTCATTGGGATTAACTGCAAAATCGTCCCAAAATGCCAGTCAGCAAGTTTCCTGTCAATTGGAACAAGAGATGCATCAGACAGATAAATCCTACTCGGTTAATGTAACTTGTTGTGCATCATAAAAGGTCTATTATTATATTTCCTTTACAAAATATAGTCAGATTTTATCCTTTTTTCTCCAGTTTGGCGGTTCTTATTGTCAGCCTTACTTAACATGGACATGAAACGGTGGTTTTTGCTCACCTCCTACATAACATAAGATTGGTGCCATGTTACTTACTACAGCAAGGTGGATTACAGATTTGCTAGTAGCATTGTCAGAGAATAGTATTGCTAACCAGATGAACTAAGAATGAAGGTACACCCTTTGTTTTTATTTACTCCACATATTAGCTTTGTCTCAAGTCAAACTTTGATCAAGTTTATACACAAAATTATTAACATCCACAGTAGCAAATTAATACCATTAAATCATCATTAAATATATTTTCACATCATGTGTGTATATATATATATATATATATTTGTTATTGTGAAAGTTTATATTATTTCCTATAAACTTGGTCAACCTTTATAAAGTTTGACTTAGGTCAAAGCTAATATGTGGAGTAAATAAAAACGGAAGGAGTAAATTTGACTGGTTTCCAGGCTTACCGAACTCCCAGCGTGCTTGAACAAGAGCAATTTGTGGATTACGTGCGAGATATGGGATGGTTCTCATGAGGAAGTCGGGTTCCGGTTGGAAATCGGCATCAAATACAGCGAGGAAATCACACTGTTGGACATAAGCATGCAGCATCCCCTCTTTCAGTGCACCAGCCTTGTATCCTTCTCGATTGTTTCTGACCTCGTATTTTACGTTCTTGCCTTTCTTAGCCCAAATTTTGCATTCCAGCTCCACCAGATCCTATTGAAAGCACACAGCAAGCCAACAGCAAAATCAGTACCACTACCGAATCAAAGAACTCAAACTAATATGTACGAGTACTTATTTCTACCCAAAGGCTCAACTAATTTTGCATTTGTCTATAAACTGCTGCAACAGGTATCCTCTCCCGGTCATCCAGTCTCTGCTATGGAAAAGAAAGCTACCCTGTTTCTTAATCGAGTTCGCCGTACCAAAATGTCTCAGTTGCATTAGTCTACCACATTTTTCGACAGCCATGAATTGGAAAGGCCAAAAGTACAGCTACTTTCCAAATGTCGACAAGTACTACAGCGCTATAGTACTACTGGTTCAACGCGCAATAGGCCTTTTTACCTTGATCGTTGGATCCGTGGAATCGTCCAGAACCTGTACGATGACCCTATCCGACGGCCACGACAGCCCGCACGCTGCTCCAATCGAAAGCTTGTACACCTGCGCCCAGCACAAGAGGCAAATCGAGGTATAGCGCATTTTTACGAAGGATGAAACGAGGCAGTATAACGTACGTATACGTGTATGTGTACACGAACAGCTACTTAATTACAGGAATACCCACGCGTACCTCTCTCTCGTTGTACATGGGGATTTGGACGAGCACCATGGGGTAGCCGAGGAGGCCGCGCTCCTCGTCCTCGCCGTCCTGGGCGCCGAGCGGGCCCGCGCTGTACCGCCGCTCGGGGCGGCGCCGCACGAGGCTGGCGGCGGCCATGAACACGGCCTCGGCGAGCAGCATGGCCGACATGGCGAGGCACGCGCCCGACACCGCCGCGAGCGCCGGCGCCACGGCCCCGGCGCGCACCGCGTCCCAGCCCCGCAGCAGCTCGCCGCCGCCCGACGCGCGCCACCACCGCAGCAGCGGCAGGCCACCAGACCCGCCGAGCCACTCCGCCTTCGCCGCCGCAAAGGCGGCGGCCCCCTCGCCGTCGCCGGCCCCCTCGCCGTCGCCGGCCATGCGGCTGCGTGCGCCTTTTTTTGGCTTTTCGAGGCTGCTTTTCCAGTTGTGCGCGTCGGCGCGCAAGGGGGGCGCCTTTGCCCAAGCGTATACTAGGCCAGTGGAGTTCCCGAGGAGGCACCGGCACGTTAGGTGGCTTGTGAAGATGACATGTGGGACCTGTGCCGCACTCGCGTTGCCGCGCCGACGTGGAGCCCGCCTGTCACGATCGTAGGTGGGCAAGCAGGGAGGTCGCGCTCGTGGGCGAGGGGCTGGGAAGATGCCAAGACGAGGCGGGCGTGGGGGCCGAGGGAGTCGTGGTCGGCGTTTGATTTCCGGCTTTTGTGGCCGTGGTGGCTGATGGGCACCGGCACCGGCCACCCACCGGCCACCGGAACCGGCGCAAGCACACGGTTCGAGGGGTGGTTGCGCCAGCACGTGCAGTACGAGAGCTTTTCCACCTCCCGAATTGGATGCGCCCCGTCGTGTTGCTCGTGGCGCGCTACCGGACAAGCAAGTTCGCTCTCTCCCATCTGGCTCAGACTAGTCACAGTGAGAGTAAGGCCAACTCCACCGCGTGATCCATTCGGACGCCCGCTTTTGTCCGTTTGAGGTGTGATTTGGCGGACGTCTGAGAGGCGGACAGACATATGGAGCATCTGCACCCAACGCGCATAAGGCATGTGAAATCTCAAACCGTCCGCCCCGCTTCGTCCCCAGCCCGCAAGGCCGCCCCGTGCGAACCCCCGCCTCGCCGCGAGCTCGCCGCCGCCCCGCCACGTCCTCGCCGCACCAGCCTCGCCCTCGCCACGGCACCGCTCCGCGCTCGCCTGTGCCTGTGCCGCGTCTGCCCGCGTCCGTGCCCCGACCGCGCCGCGCCTTCTGCGGCCGCCCGCGCCCCGACCGCGCCGTGCACGCCGTGCCCTCCCGCACTGCG